CCTTCCTTTCCTCAAGTCTTTCCTCAAGCTCTTCTTTCTCCTTTCTTCGCTGTTCCTCTTCTTTTCTTTTCCTCTCTTCAATAATCGTTAAAAACACTTCTTTAGCAAATGCTTCATCATATGTATCACTTTGAATTATTTCATTTTTTATCGCCACGATTTTCATACTTGGATCTACTTGAATTTCTAATTCAGCAGCTAAAGCCAGCAAATCCTCTTTTTTCCCACGTCCCATAAAAGCCATGTCTCGATTTTATTCAGCCAATAGACTCTTAGTTTTATAAAAAAAATTTTTTTTCTCTTTTCTTTTTCTATTTAAATATAATTCACAATGAATTTAATTTTATTCGGCACGAAAATCAATCAGTGGAATCAATACTTAATGTGTTGTTCACTTACTCTGGCGAGTCAAACGAAATTACATTTGAACACTGGCGTATTCATTACTTTGAAAATTTACATTTGAACACTGGCGTATTCATTACTTTGAAAATTACATTTGAACACTGGCGTATTCATTACTTTGAAAATTACATTTGAACACTTGATAAGTAAATAAACTAAGATTCCATGACGGAAACAATAATTAACTTTTCATAATCTTAATTAACTATTTTACGTTTCCAAGGTAAATTGATCTCTCACCTGAGTTATTTTGGTTCGTAATTATATGCGGGGAAACTCCGATCCTACCGGCTGCGCCAGTAAAGATCCTTTCCTTATTTCAATATAATGAATATTGAATCTTGTAGGAAGAATAAAGCTAATTTTCAGAATAAACAAAATACTTTTATTTAAATTTCAAAACAGAACCAAAAAAAATAAATATTGCAGCTCTAAACTCTCAAAATTTTAAACTCTTAACTACTGCAGTTAAAACTCTTACAACTATTAAAAAAAACTCCCAATCTTAAACTCTCTAAAACAAAATATATATAAAAATCTTTCGAATCCTCTTCTTGTTGCGACACCGTAAAATGCAAGTTCTTGTTATTTATATTTCACGTTCTCTTTAAGTCACGATCTTCACAAGTCATGATCTTTACAAGTCACGATCTTTACACACATAATTAATTAAGGTAATCAATTAAAAATTCAAAATAGTTATTTAGTAAAAATTTAAATTTTCTATCAATCATACTTATGATTGTACGATAGGAAAAAATTATTAGTCATTAAATGTGTGTCAGCTGGATGCAAAGGCTCCCAAATGTGAACATAACAAAAAAATTTTTCTTCCTTATATAAGCAGCCACTACTTAAGCATTTCATGATATTCAAAAGTTGCATATTGCAAATATAGTAAATAAATTTGCTAATTTTACAATTAGCTGCAGAAGCATCTTTAATAAAGAAGTACCCCAAAACATATATTAAGAAATTTTTATGATAGTTATATATATATTTTTTTTGCTAGATGATAGTGCAACAAACAATGTAAAAGTATTTAAAAAAACCTAATTATAATCAAATTCTTCAGGCTTCGTGACTTTTTTTTTCAATTAAGTGGCATGAATAAAAAAAAATGTATTTTTGTTGCTTAAGAAAAATTTTAATAATGATATGCCTATTTTTATAATCAAGAGTAAATCTTCTCTTTTAGTGAATAAAACTTAGTTGGCTATTTCTATCACTAACTCCTTTCTTCTAGTAATTTAGCTACTTTTGTAACTAGATTAGGTATTTAATTTAGCTTGACTAACTTTGACTTTCTTAAATGAAAAGTCTAGAATTTGCCTTTTTCTCATTTATTACTTGCATTCTATTTTAATGAATGATATAGTAATATTTCTGGTATTTATTCTTTGGCTGATGACCTTTGATTGCATTTGTATCTGTCATCGTGCTTGTAGATAATTTTCATGTTTATATTTATCCTTAACTTTTAATTTTGGATATTTTTTGCTGCAAATTGTGTCTTTTCAGTTCCAATACATTCATTTCTTTTGTCATTATAATACATTGAATTCTCTGTAAGTTGTTTACCAGTGTTTCCAAAGTATGTTTATCTGTGGAGATAATCATCTTAGAGAAGTGATATTTAATACTAATGTTTATATGTGTTTTCAGAAATATTGCTGAATTTCAGAGGGTTCACTGTGTATGTGTGTGTGTCATTAGAGAAGTTCTGTATTTTTTTTTAAATCAAAGCGCATTTTCGTATAATTATTTGTTACTGCTGATACAGAGTGACCTTTATTGAAGTGGTTGTTTAAATACTGTTTTTTCTATCCCATTGTATAATTCAAGCATATGACAGTAAAAAGTCAATACCAGCCAGAAAAAAGCCAGTAAATGGCTGAAATTTTGTTTCAGTGGAGTGCTAAGAATGGAGAATCCAAAAGTTGATTTTTGTCATATTATGTTCTGTAAAATTTGTGCTATATATATGGAACAAATGTTGTATTTGGACTTGTGGAATTGGTCTAAAAATTTTGGACCACTTTGGGGATAGAAACAACAAAAATGTTGCTTCTAATGAGGCAGTTTAGGTAGTTTAAAAAGTTTAAGCATGGAAATGTCAGCCTCAATGATGCTTGCTTTGGACAACCATTCTCTGTAAATAAGGATATATTATAAGAAGCTTTCACTGAAAATCCAAGTTATGCAGTTCAGGAACTACAAGACAGAATAAATATTCCAAACAGTGTAGTACATGTTCAAACTTGAAGAAGATTGTTTATGCTGCTACGTTGTATGGATACCCCTTACTTTAACAGATCATTGATATACTTGTTCATGTTTTGGTATATGATTCTGTGCTGAAAAAAATTAGAAGTGGATACTAGACAATAATGTTACAAAAAAAAAAGAGTATGATGTAAGCCAAAAGAATCTCAAATCAGACAATAAATTTGGAAAAATAATGTTTCCACATGGCAGTGTTTTAAATGCAGAAATTGAAGCTAAGCACCCTGAACTGAACAATCTTTGCGCTGTTGTTTTCTATCATGAGAGTGCTCGGCTCCATATTTTGATGAACATCAGACAAAAGCTTTGTAGGGAATCTTATGTTAATTAACCAGTTATTTTGATTCCAGCCTTTACTATAACTTCTTCTTTTCATATTCCTTGCCAGAATGCAAATTAGTAGTGAGCATTTAAGCTGAGGTTTTTTTAGATTTGAAATAGAAAGTGTTTCTGGCATTGTATGTGCATTACACGGTTAGCTTCCTTCCAGGGCTAATAGTTAAAATTATCTGACATTGCACCCTCTCGCTGCTGATATTATAATTCTGATACTCTGAAAGAGTTTAGTGAACTAGCATATAGTGTAATAATTAATTGTGTAGTCTTTGGCTACTGTTCAATGTTTAAGTTAAATTGAACCTTTCCATTTATTTTGCATCACCACAAATTATGGTCATTATAGACAAGAGTGTGCACTTATGTTCCGAATTCTGTTTAAATTTTGATTTAAACAGAATTTTATTAAACAGAAGGCTATTTCAACCTTCACAAGTTTGTGTCATTGTTCTGAGACACAGCGATAATTCGCTTCACTTCTGTTAAGGTTATAGGACTAAAATAGTCTACCAAATCAAGTGTAACCCATAACTTATTAAGTATAGCTCATATACCTTGTATCACCCCTTCTTATAGTAACTTTGCCCTCTCGTACTTCCATCTCTTCAGGTCGCTTCAATATTCTTCAAATGACTTAAAATTACTCTATGGAAACTGCCAAACAGCACGTTAATAACTTCTTTATGAATAAACTAATGATGTTTTTAAAAAAGGAATTTTTGAGCTGCTTGAGAGATGGCAAAATGTAATGGAATAAAATGGGCATATGTATATTCAAGGAAAGTATGTTATGTTTTTGTACAGCTTCATTTGTATTTATCATCAAAAACTTCAGAACTTTTCGGATGATTCTGTATATGTATGAGTTCAGACCAAACCTACTTTAATTATGTTTAGTTTAATTCTTATTTTCATTGGTTTTATCAGAGTGGATTTCTTTTATTTAATTGTAACATTTTATAAAAGTTAATGATTTCCAAAACCATAGAAATCTTTCAAAACTTGCTAAAATACATGCTGTTCTCCATTTTTATTATTTTGAACTTTTAATTATAAATCATACATTAATCATATTTATCCAGAATCATAATCATTTATTTATTATCAATTATATGTTTATAGAATTGTAAATTACAATTTAAAAGTTTAAATTGTCAAATTTAAAGTGTTGCAGAAATTTATGATGAGCTGGAAGCAGATTCAGAACTTTCAAAAGGAAAGATAAATTGGAGGATTAGATGTGAAATTCACTTCTGGTTAAGCAGATGAAGACTTGCAATGTATAAAAAATACTTGATGATGTTTGACATAGGGGAACTATTTATAATGCTTTCATTAATGCTTATAAATCAATGACCAGCACTACCATGAAATTTGCAATGAAAAAGGCTTTATTAATTTTTATAATTATATTTTTATTGCATGTTATATGCTTCAAATATAGGTCGGTGAGTTCAAACAAAATATTTATAGCAGGGATTCTTAATATTTCTTGTCCCATGTACCCTTTTCACCATTCCTAGGCGATCATTCCCCCGCCATTCTTTCGAGAACTTGAAAAATATGTATACTTTTTTTTATTTTAAATTATTTTTAAATCATTTTTAGTGTTTCATAAATTAAACAGGCAAAAGTATAAAATATGTTGGTAAATATCAAAACCTGGGAAAAGTAGTTTTTTTATTTGGAAACTAAAACTTAATATTAGCATGTAAAGGCTGACACCACATTTCCCTCTGAAACTATATGAAATTCTCCTTGGGGGGGGGATTCTTCCCTGATTGAGAACTCCAGATTTATAGCATAACATATAACAAGTTTAAAACTAAATTAAAATGATTTCTGAACCAGTAATCCTAACTTAATGATAAATTTTAGTTGTATCTTCATTGTCATGAAACCAAAGTTCAACTGTGTATATACTAATGTGTGATTGAATATAAAGAATAAAATTTTGTGTTTGTGTATTAAAGGAATTCATGCATTTGGTAACAGTATTACTCCTGAAACACCTTGGCCTAAAGTGACTAAAGCAAAAGAAAAGTTCACAGAAGTTGTAAAGAAAAATCCGTCTGTTGCAACTAAGGATGTTCTAGTAGACGAATTATTTGCTTTGCTTCGCGATCGCTCATGGTAAGTATATAATTTCTACTGTTCTTCTTGCTTTGATTTAAAATGCTTGACATGAGTGTATTTAATGAAAAAAGAAATGTGATTGCTCTTTGATGTTAATGAAATAATCCTTTTAACATAATTTTTCAGGTCTTTTTATAAAACTTCTGAATAATTTAAAAGGCAATGCAAAAGTTTTAAGACAAGTTAAAAATTAATCATTTCACAAAATTATAGCTAATTTTATTTGCAATTGAGTTAGTTTACAGGCATTTTTATTTTGCCATACAATTAGCTGTAAATTTTAATGATTGAGGAAGATATAAACTATCTTATTAGTTAGATATAAATTTGGTTATACTAGATATAAATTAGCTTTATTAATTTTTAATAATCATTATTTTAGCTTTTTATCTTAATACGTCCCTGATTTAACAGTAGCAAATCAGTGTAAAGTGTGAAAGCATGTGTCTTTTTTTTTTTTCTTATTTAAGTAGTACTTTATACAAGAATATAGCAAACAATAAAGAGGAACTCGGTGTAATGTGATGGTTTATGTGTATTAATTTATTTTTTATGCCTATTTAATGTTTACTCTTTTTTTTTAAATTAATGTAATTCTCATCATATTCTTACTTATGACAATCAAATGTCATATATCTTTCTATTATTTCTCTTACTAAATTCTCTTTGCCTCATGAAATCATATTTTTGTTTCAGTATAAATTATTTTAGGTAATATAAGTTACATTTCTAATGCTCAATAAGTTTATGGAACTCAAATAGTTTGAATTATGGTATACTTTAACTATTGGTAACCTAAATAGATGAAACAAATGAACTGGACATTTGTTTGCTTGTTATATAGGTTGCCATTATATTTCAATGTAAGGCCTGTAATGTAAACTATTGCCAAGTGTTGGCCAAGTATGCCAACTATTCAAAGAATTTTGGCTATTTTAATTCTGGCACCTTTCAATAAATTAGCCTAAATCATATTGTTTTGTGCTAGATATGTCGTTTTGTTTCCAATGTAAAACTCGGAATAGAAAATAGATGTTGCATAGCAAATAAATGTTATGAAACTTTCTGTATTTAAATGCATTCTGCGTGTATGTGATGTAAAACTATCAAAAAGTATCGCGCAGTATATAGAGGCATATCAAATTTGTATGTTTTGGGTGTGTTTTGTCTTGAGCCAGTAACACTAATAATGTGATATTTACGAAATATGCATATTGCACTACAAAAATGACATCTTCTATTATTTTGTTCTGGGTTACTGTAAAACCTGTAAGAGTTCTTTCTTTTGCTGTGGATATGGTAATATTAGCTTGTAATTCTGTTTGAAATTTGTGGCCTTATTATTGCAGATTTCCTGGTCTATGAAGGTGCTTGAAATTTATCCTACATCATAAAGCAGCGCTGTTTCATACTTGTATTTGCAAGTAGAGGTTAAGGCGTAGCATGAAATTAGTTATTTAGCAGTTATAAGCTAATCCATGCTTTTCTTTCTTTTTTATATTTTTTTATAAGATGTTTGTTTACATGACAGGCATTACAGGCCTATTGTCACCTTTTTAATTAATTGACTATAATATTCCAATTTAAACTTATTAAATTAGTATAAAATACGAATAAATGTCTTTTTATTAAATTAATATCTCACAAGATAAAATGTACCAATAAATATGAATTCTTTAATAAAACTTAATTTGCTAGAAATCTTGCTAAAATTAGAAAGTATTGGCAAGTGGAAGGTTAGATATACTACATTAACATACTTCGGTTTTATATGAAAGATAGTATGCCAGTGTCAATTTTTTAAGTAAAAAAAAGTCATATTTAGATTGATATTGATTTTATAGAAGAGCTGTCGATTTTGGCGGAGACAGGAAAATATATTTTTGCTCCTTGAAAAGTGTCTCCGCTATTTCTGCCTTGAAACTGATGGAGATTTTCTGTAAAATCAACATGAATGAAATGAACAACATGAATTGAATTTTGCCCAATTTTTATAATATTGTTTAATGTACCTTTTTCAAAGTGCTTTTGTATTTATGTTTATATTTAGAAGATTGATGTAGCTGGGCCTTTATTACATAGTTGCAAGATGTTAAATTTATCTTATTCATTATTATATAATAGTTTTTTATATTTACATTTAATTACTATCCATGTACTGTAATATGCAGTATTTATCTAATGGGTCTTATATTTATTAGCTACAGCCTTGATGAAAATATGAAAAAGCAAGGGAAAAGTAAAACATCTATGTTTCTGGACAAACTTAGTGCTATATTTGTCAACATTCCTGAATCAAATTATGGTAGTAGGTAAGTATATTTTGAAGTCTGTTGCTTCGTGATTCACTTTTATAAAAAATGTCCTTTTAAAATTATTTATTTTTCTTTTAGATGTCATACTGTGATCTTAGTTGATGGATCCAAAAATGTTGATTATTTTGAACGCAGTCGAAATGAGAAGTTACCACCAGAAACTGATGAAGAATGGATTTTATGTCATTATAATTTCAAATTATCGTAATCACATATACTTAATAAACCACATGTCAAGAGACATAGAATTAATTTTTCTACAGCTCAGCTTAGTTATAAAAGTGAGATTAAGTATGTGATAAAAAAATAATGAGTGATTTAGAAAAGTGAAATTATGTGTGTGATAAAATAAGTGAGATTAAGTAAGTGATGGAAAAAAGGTGATTAAGTAAGTGATAAAAGAAAGTGAGATTGAGTAAGTCATAAAAAAAGTGAGATTAAAAGATGTATCTGAGTGAAAATTTAGTTTTCAAATTTTACTGAAAATATCTTTGTGCAAATATATTTATTCATTTATTTGTCATTGTTATTTAAATATTTAAATTTTTGATGTATTCTACATTTCTTGTAAGGATTTTTACCCTTGCATATTGCTAAATTTTTATTAGTTTCTCTACAAATATGCACAAGGGTCAGAATTTGATGAAATATTCAGATAGTTTTGTTTGAATCTGATTTATTTACGTTTTTATTATATTTTATTTGAATATGAACTTTTTTTCTTCAATAAGTACCCAGAGTGCAGTATTTGTTACATATGTAGCCTATTGCATTTATTCAGTAAGTAATTATCTCTTTAAAAATTAAATAGAATAATTGTTAATAATTTTATCTTAAGATACTGATAATTATTGCTTTTATTTAATTATCAGTAAATGGTTAATATTTACTTTCATTTAAATGTAATGTTTTTTATATTATAAAAAGGTCTTCAGGGTCTTTCAAATCAAACTGCTTGTTTGTTATATTTAACGAGTCAGAAGCACAAAATATTCAGGTCTAAAGATTATTTCTGATCGTTTTGGAATAGGTTATACTACAGTCATGCAGTGAAAACACCAAAAGTTCAAGGCAAAACAGGATTCTGCTGCTGTGGTGCTTCTGTTGCTATAATCTACTAGCTGTCTTGATTGTCATAGCTTAGTTGGAAATCTTTAGTGGGAAGGATAGTTGTAATCTATCCCTTGTACTAAAGAAAGAAAATATGTGAGGAATAATTACTTATATACCCTCAAAAAATAAAAAATTAGACTTTCCCTTATCCGTTTTGTATACAGCTTTGCCTATTTGTCCTCGAAGGATTATTTTATTATCTTTATATATGCTCGCAACAAACACATTAGTAAACTTGTTTGCTCTCAAAACCCAATGATCTGAATGAAGCTAAGCAATGCACAGAACTCCACCTAAATGAATTAGCTCATTCAAGTTGCTTGTTACGCTTTCATTAGTCAATCTACCAGCTCGAAATAGAATATGCTTTCTCTTGTTTAAATTTCAGTTCAAATGAAAAGAGGGCAAAATTTTGATATTGCTTATCATACGAGTGAAATATATAAAAGAGTGCGATCACAGATTTACAAAAATCCAGAATCATTATTCTTCGCGTCTGCAGTCCACAGGTTAAACTTGTTTACAATACATGTAACTGAATGCTGCTCAGAAGGGATTACTAAATCTTTTGGATAATTTTACAAAAATTATTTAACTCACATAGTAACAGCCCATAACAATGGGAAGTATTAAAGAAAATCATTTAAATTTCTGAGTACTTGTCTGCAGGAGTGCGACATTTGTACAAAATATTCCTAGAATAATAGATAGAGATAATAGATCAAGATTACGTTTAAATTTGACTTGGAAAACATGTGAAGAAAAAAACAGCTTTATATGGATGCATTCAAATGTATTTTGATACTGATTAAATAATGTTGACTAATATTAATTGCAGACTCTTACAACATGATACTATATATAACTCTTATACAAGTGCACTACTGCAACATTGCCAAGCTACTATTGATATAACATTCCATAGTCTGTGTGGTCTTACTCATACAAAAAATAAATTCCTGAGATTTGATAATTAGCAAACATTAACTGATTCTAAAAATTAGGACATAATTCCAGAATTTGCATCAAATGCATAAAAATGACAAAGAAAATAAAAACTTTCAGGCAAATCAAGTAGCTATGATTCTTTTTAGAACTGAGAACCAAAAGGTATTCCATTGTAAAGTGTTTAATAATACATAGATATTATACTAGATGCTACAGAAATACTATTTAGCACTGCAAAAGGTAAGAATTTAAAATTTAATATTTGTTGGGCATTTATGAACAAATCTTACATAGTGATTAAAGCGGAGATGAATAAATTGCTAGTGGAATATCAAAAAGATACTGATCTAAACATATAAAAAAAAATGTGCATCATGTAAAGTTACATACTTGGATAACATAGGCCAGTGGTCTCAAGCTCATTTCCCGGCCAAATGCACAATCTGAAAGAACTGATAGACCAAAATATTTTTCTTTTAAACAAAATGAAGAATTTTATAAGCAAAAGTAAAATATCTTAAATAAATTTTAAATTTCATTTACTAAATTCTTATTAAAATATATATTAGTTATAATAATATCGCAAAAAGAAAAATATTCAAATTTATATTTATTTTCTCTCTGAAATCTAAAATTAAAGTTAAAATAAAATAAGATATTTTTATTGGTTACATTGTGTAAGGTAAACATTAAATTCTTACACTTGTATTTCTTTCAAATGATTCTAATGTATTTAATTAGTCATTGAATAATTTAGTTTAAACTAAAAATAAGCAAATAAGGAAAACTTTTCAAGTTTTTAGAGAAAATTTACCAAATGGGATGAAACTTGAGGATAACTGATAACAGCATATTATCTTATTAAATTTTTCTTTGACGCATAATTTTTTTTAAATAACCATCAACTTTTTTAACATTTGATAGTGTTTTGATATGGAGGAGTTTGTACCCTTTCTTATTAATTTCTTATTAATTTGTGGAAAAAGAAACATTTATATGTAATATATATTCCTAAACAAAGAGATTATTCTTAGTGCAAAAATTTGTAAAAGCTTATTTATTTTTTTGACAACTGTGAATAAAAGTTAATAAAATCTGTATCTTCAAATCTTGCAGAAAAAAATTATGTCACATTGTAAATTAATTTGTGCCATTTTTGGTGCATTATTTATATTCGCTTTTAATGAAAGCATTTTTAAAAAATTAAAATAGGATAAATAAAAGTTTAAATAGTTCAAGTTTAATGAAAATAAAATTTGGACTTCAAATAACTAAAATCTTGAAACCTTTCAACTAGATTTATATCTCATTGTACATGAATTAACAATGGCTGAAGAACGTTTGAAATTATGAATTGATATGTTAGTTCTAAAGCTTGGAAAATTTCTGTTTATGAAATGTGTATTGCATGTGTTATATTGTTTATTATGTTATTCTTAATATTTATTTATAGAAGTGAATTTCAAAGCAAGAACCAATAACTGGGAATATTGCAGTATAAAATATGTTCTAAGTTTTTCTTTCTAAACATTTTATTGTTGTCTATTTAAGGCAACACTTTTTTTCTTAATTTGCTTTTGCAGTGATACATATATGTATGTACCCAGTTGTGTAGCTTTGGGGCATCATTTTTTAAAATTTTAAATAAATATGCATTATTTTCTAATCAACTAATTACTTTTGAAACGCCTTGCTACTGTCACTACCAAGTCCTGTATTTTCTCATCACAGTTTTTAAAATATTATAACATTTGGGATAAAGTCATACCAAAATATGAACATATTTCATTATCCATACTTTTTTCTCAAGATTAATCCATGATCTACAGCTCTTTTATACATCTAATTTTATTCTCTATGAATTGAAAGCATTTAAAAAGATTAAATTGAGAGCCAACAAATTTAGAAGGAAGAAAAATGTTAATTTATTTGCGCATATTTTGCTTTATATTTCATTACAGATTGCACCATTGCTTTTTTTATTCACTGTGTGCATTGGATTGAAATTAAGGTAGGGAATATCAGTTAGTCAGCACATATATATTTTTGAAATGTAAAGACAGAGTTAACAATAGTGAAAAATGTAATTGCACACCATTTCAATGAAGACAGTCTCGAAAAAGGGATTCAAAAGCATCTTCTTGCTCCCCTTTTTATAATGATTCAGTTGATTATTCCATTAAGTAGCTTATTGCTATCATCAATTAAATTGTAATGTTCTAGATCAGATGATTTTAATTTTTTTCTGGCTGCAGTTTCATAAATGCAATATAATCACTACAGCTTGTAAATTTTGGGATAAATATTCTGTGCCTAGTAATGTTTTTGTTTTGTAAATATCAATATTTTCTTTTCATTTAATTTTGTATTTTTTTAATTTATGTAATAATGTACAAGAAAAGTTTAAACATACCTTAAAAATATTTAAGAAAAAACATTCTCTGTATTCTTTATTTCTCTAATATGAAGGCATTTGTGCCTGAGTAATACTGTACAGTAGCTCTGCTTCTATCTGAAATTGTTATTTTCAAACTGTTTCTTAAAAGATGTTGCAAGTAAACAATCTTTATGTATTAAAAAATAGGCTTTCAATAACCAAGTGGATGAGGCTGCTTAAGTATTGTTATGTCAGTCTAATCTCAAATCTTTGAAAATAGGCTGGCTGATGGGGCTTCCATGGACTTATATTTAATGTAAATATGAACCAGTTATCACTAGGAAGTGTTCCTTGGGGCTTTTCCGTAGGCAGATGATGTTAAGCCTTGATAAATTAGTCTGTAATGTTCATTGTAACATGTATCATCAACAAAAAAACTTTTTCCCCCCCCCTCCAAAACGGATTTTAAAATGGATTCAAAAAAGATTTTTTCATAACGTCTGTATGCAGATATATGTGTATGTATCTCGCATTGCTCGAAAACAATTAGCCATAGAACATTGAAATTTTGTGTATGGGACTGCTATGATATCTAGCTATGCATTTCTTTTTTGTATTGTAATTAGCAGTACCAAACGTATATATATATATATATATATATATATATATATTTACACACGCCTTACCCTGCTTAAAAGTCCTTATCACAGGCCTATTTTTTTGTAATCGTTGATCATAATACTTCTAATTACATATTTTAAATGATGAAAATATTCATGTTTTGGCAATGCCAAATTTAAAAAAAATTAATTTTCGAAAAATAACAAAACCTAACTATGTACTATATAATAACATTTCATATATATAGTTAGTCTAAAAATTAATATCTAATTTACTTGTAACATCAGATTATTATTTTAAATATCTAGCAATATTTAGTTTATTGTTGTTCTAAAAAGAATATTTAATATGCGGTACAAGGAAGTCGTGATGTTCACATCAGATATTTTTACATTACAACACTGTATTCACTTTTTACCGGTCCTTTAGTTCACAAAAGTTACTCTATAAGTGACATGCTGGATTATCGCCTTTATGATCAGTAAATGTCTGTGTCTCTTAGCTAGTATGCTGTGTGCAGAGTTGAAAAATTTCAGCTAAGAAATTCCGCTATCAAAAAACCGCTTTTTTCCTCTAAACTAGGGTTTTCCAAATTTTTTTCCCAAGACCAGTAAAAATGTTTATGGCTTATTGATAAATTAAACAAGTTTTAATAATGAATGTAATGTTTCGTTAGCTGTGAAAGTAAAAAAATATAGAAAAATGTTTTAATGGGAAGTGTTATGCTTTTTCTTGTTAACTACTTTTACTACTGTCGAACTTTCAGGTCTACATTGCTCCCCCTCCCCCAAAAAATAACTTTATTCTTTAATCTAGATTGATTGATTTCTGCATTTATTTCTTAGAAAAGCAAGTGTTAAAGAAGGCTGTTTCACGTTTGTAAGTTGTAGCAAAAGGCATTAGAAAATTAGTTGTTTTTGTGTCAAAAATGGGTGGTCAGGGTCTCCAGGTCTGAATCATTTAATATTCCAAAAAGGGTTTCTTCACATTCACCGTTCTTAATAAACAAATACGTGGCATGTACTATCGGAGAGCCAAAAAAACATAAAAACTCTGGAATTAGTACCTTTAAGTTGCAACAATAAATGCACAGCAATCTATTTCGCTACTAAATGTCACAGTGTGAAAGTGAACATTTTCCCACGTAATACTTTAAATTTCTATAGAGGGGTAATATCAGAACCCAGCCTTTTCTTCGTAACAGAGGGTGAAATAGTCAATGAGGTAAAAGCTCAACCTATTTCTCGCGCGACAAGAATAATACTCAAGCGAGATGGGGAATTAATCGATACAAAGGGCTTCACTTGACATTCAGCACTTCAGATATGGCAAAAGTCAAAACTGGCTATCTGCATTGCCAGGTAAAAATGTATGTGCCTAATCTATTGCGTTGTTTTCAATGTCAGAGATCTGGGTATTCGAAAATCTGATGCCGTGGCAGTCTCACGTGGGCAAAGTGCACCCAGGTTAGCCACGAGATCGATAATTGTAATAATCGATAAGTATTATCTGCAAAGAAGATCATCCAACATGTTCAAAGTTATGTGCAAAATGGAAGGCAGAAAAAGAAATCCAGTGTGTAAAAGCAACCAGAAATGTACTATATACAGAAGCTAAGAAAATAGTGATAAGCATTCAGCCATATCGAATAAGTATTAGCCGCTGCGTAAAATCAATCGTCACACAAACAAGTGTTATTGCATGTCAAAAAGAAACCTGACAAACGTCTGAAACGAAAAAGGGTACAATAGCTCAGCAGAAAACCGAAATTAAAAGTATCTCTAAATCTGGGAAAATTATGAGGCAGACCTAGAGGTATCTGTCGAAGCTCCTTGAAGAGCATCGTCCTGCGAATTGGGCTCTGAGACTATGTAATTTGAAGAAGGATTAGATTTACCCAAGAATCTCCCTCTTCCAACTACACAGTAGCATCAGTAAAACAAATACTAATAATGGGTTTCTTATATCGTGGAACTGCCGCAGTTTCCGCCAAAGTCTCGATAATCTTAAACATCTGACTGATTTCCACCATCCTGCTTGCTTAGTAGTACAAGAAACGTTTATGAAACCTGATCAGAAAATTAAGCTTCAGAAGTATTCGTTGGTGAAAAATGATGGTATGAATAAT